CCCAAACCCCGAAACCGATCCGGGCGGCTGCAGCGTCATGAGGGAATGAGGTGCCTGATATCCCCCCCTAGATATACCCATGAAGGGAGTACATAGGGCACAACCCTAAACCCTAAACCCTAAACCCAAAACCCAAAACCCAAAACCCTAAACCCTACACCCTAAACCCTAAACCCCTCATTCCCTCATTCCCTACTCAACAACAGTGAGTCCGGGCGGCTGCAGCGTCATGAGCGCGTGGAAGCTCAACTCGCTGGCCAGGACTTCCGGCCCCTCCTCGTCCTTGCACAAGAAGAGAACAAGGGTTTAGGGTTTAGGGTTTAGGGTTCAGGGGCTTGGGGTTTTTGGGGTTTAGGGGCCTAGGGGTTTAGGGGTTTAGGGGTTTGGGTCCTTACCACCGGCAAGAAACGGGTTTTGGGCTTTCAAAGGGGGGTTGGGGTTTTAGGGTTGAATTTTAGAGTTTTAGGATTTAGGGGTTTAAAGTTTTAGGGGAAGACCCTGAGGGCCCAAACCCCGATCGAATATCGGGCTTGAGGTTTAGGGCCCCGAAGCCCCTCCATGGAGAAATATACCTTGAGGTCCTTAGTATGATGTTTAGGGATGTAGCTAGCTTCAGGGATTTTGGGTCCTCTGGGAAATTCTTAGACCGCTTGCACAGGATTGGTGTAGTGATTGGGGTGTTGGGGTGTCTATAGGGCTTAGTCTATTGGGGGTTGGAGCGGGGCTTCGTGGGCAGAGGGCCTCTAGGGGGCGGCCGCAGATTGCCCTAAACCTTACATGTTTATTTCTCGGCTTTAAACCCTAAACCCTAAATCCTGAACCCTAAAACCTAAACCTAAACCCCAAACCCTAAACCTCAAACCCTAAACCCTAAACCCTAAACCCTAAACCCTAAACCCTAAACCTTAACCCCTAAACCCGAAACCCTACACCCCAAACATCCCAAACACTAGGCCCTAGGGCTTACGTATTTGGGAGAGGTTCACAGTCGGCCCAAGGCTTCTTCAACCCTTCTTATTAAGTCGACCGCCAAGGATCCAAGTCTTCCAGCAAGCTCATGGCGGACAGCCAGGAGATGCCTCAAGAGCGGGAATGGTACCTGAGACCTTGAAGCCCTCGAGCCCGCAAACCCCCCCCCCCCCAAAAAAAAAATGCTCAAACACCCTGAAGCCCGAAAGCACTATCGGAAGGAGATATAAACTGAACTTGCACCGGCAAGAGCGAGAACCGCAACTACCGCCACCAACTAACCACCCTGAACCGCTACTGTACACATTCACGACTTTCTGTTGAGGGTTTGGGGTTTACGTTGGGATGTTCCCCCGTATACTAACAGCCCGTAATAGGGATTATGGTACCCCTATCTTAATCCTTATTCAGGCCTGGAAGTATAAGGGGGGACATCCCAAGGTTTACGGCTTGTGGTTCTAGGCTTTGGCACTTCCAGCTGTGGGGTTAAGGGAATGTATGTGCTAAATCCGGAAAAAAGAACACTTTCGGCTCCGCATGTAAGCGAAGAGCATCTGCCACTAAATGCCCACCCATTGTTTGCTTAGGAACCACCACAAAATTCTTCCTAAGAACCACCCAAAAAACTTCTTCCTTATAAGGGCAATATCGGATGATTTTCTCTATTTTTTTTTGTGGTCCTTACTCCAACAGTAGCCACTTCAGATCAATACCCATTAGCAGCAAAGGGTGCCCTAGGTCTTGGACTCCAAGACCCTTCACGCTTAGGATGCAAACCCAACCCTGGCAAACCCCTAGACGGCACCTAGGGGGTTTGGGGTTTAGGGTTTAGGGGTTTGGGGTTTAGGGTTCAAACCCTCAAAGCTCCGAACCAAGTCCAAACCCCAACAAACGAGACAACCCACCCACAACCCCTTGTATTCCACAGACGAACTCTAGAAAACCGCGAAATATCTAAACACTTGGAGAGTCATGGTTGAGGGTTTCGCGCTACATCCTAAACCCCAAACCCTGAACCCCTAAACGAGTGCTTTTATACAGAAGATTACAGAAGATCCGAGGCACAGAGCGGAATCAGCCCATGCATCCCCATCGCCTGGTTGAGGTGGTCCTTGGACGCTTTTGGGGATTTAGGGGGCTTGGGGTTCCGGGGGGGTTAGGGTTAAGGGTACATTGTTCTTGGTCGCCTTTTGGAGCTTTAGTGGGTTTAGGCTTTAGGGCTTCAGGATTTAGGGTTGGGGTTTTTGTAGGCTTCTTAGGTAACCTAGTATTGAAATTAGGTTTTGAAGGCTCTTGCGGTAGACCCGAAGCCCTGGCACCGCCTACAGAACCTCAATGAATATCAGTTGCTGGATATAAAAACCACACACATAATTCCTAAGGAGCCGATATAAGCCAGTCAAGTCGCAGACTTCCAAGTCTCTTTCTAAGTCGCAAGACCCAGTCCGGAGGTTTGATGCAAAGAGTTCGAAGCTCGCACCCCAAGACCCTAAGCCCTCCTGAACCATCCTGAACCCTCCTAAACCCCTTCTAAACCCTCCAAACCCTCCTAAGAACCTAAGGGGTATGGATCCCAGTTTACTTGAGTAGGGTTTTAGGATTTAGGGTGCCTTCACCATGTTTGGCCGCGCAGCGCAGACAAGCGAGGAGAAACAGGGTGTAGCCTGCAAAAAGTGTGGCTAGGGCTAAACCCTAAACCCTAAACCCCAAACCCTAAAGCCTAAACCCTAAACCCTAAACCCCTAAACCCTTAAACCCTAGACCCTTGCCAGCAACAAATGGTTTTGGGATTGGCTGATCGATGCTGGGCTCGGGCGCGGCTCCCTGCAGGGCAAACATGGGCAGCTCCCCGAACTAGGGCACGCCCAAACCCGACTACGGCCCTAGACTACGGCTCCAAGCAATCTGTATCCTGCATCCTAAACCCTAAACCCTAAACCCTAAACCCCAAATCCTAGCCCTAAACTCTAAACCCTAGCCCCTAAACATCCCTCAACCCTACAAAGCCCCAAGAAATCCAGGACACCAGGCCTCGCCCCCAAGACCGACGATGTCGGCTTCCTCGGGAGGCGCCAAGACATCCAGGAGATGCACCTCGTGGACAAACAGGTTTAGGGTTTAGGGTTTAGGGTTTGGGGTTTAGGGTTTAGGGTTTAGGGTTTAGGGTTTAGGGTTTAGGGGGGTTTAGGGGCTTTGGATAGCCCATGGGCGTTTCAGAACAGCCAATCACCATAGTCACCTTAGTCGCCTCGGCTTTCGTGGCCAAGGCTTCGCTCGCTTGAAATCGGCACAAACCCACACTTCTCAAGATTCATTCCTATGAATATCCATTCCAGAGAAGGATGACAGGAAAAACTTTTGGAGCCAAGATGGAGTTGCTGGGACGAGACATCTTTATCGTTACGAAATCCATCGAACAATCCATAGGCTTCGATTCCAGCTCCATATGCAAGGTTCCCCGAACCCCTAATTACCACCCTAGTCCCTATTTGGGTTGGCCCCCTACGTTTCACAAACTTATATGAAGCATCTTTCTCAATAAGATCATCTTTTTCGCCATGAAGGAAATACATGGAATACAAACCTGAACCCGAAGCGGAAGAAGCAATCCTAAACCGTAAACCCTAAATCCTAAACAACTTCCCGGATGTTGCTCGATCCCCTCATTGGTTGGTTCTTAGGCTCGCGCGGCTCGGATGAACAGCTCCAAGACCTCGTGTTACACGCCCTAAGCCCCAAAACCAAAACCCTAAACCCTAAACTCTGCGGAGAATACCCCGAAACCCTGAACCCAGGGCCTGCGGTGGTTCTTGACAAACGTTTCTGCCTGCTTTTTATTGGGGGGGGGGGGTTGCGTTTGGTTCGGCTTTTCGCGCATCGGCCTCACAAGAGATGTCTGCAGAGAACTTAGAAGATTCTATTCCTCAACTAAAGCTTTAAGGCACGTAGAAACGAAACCGGCTCCGGAAGTAAAGGCCACTTTTCGGCCATGAGTCCACAGCGCATCCTTCCACGGTCTCCACACATCGCTTCTCCTGCACGGAATCTTGATAGCAGCTGGACATTGTTACCATACAGCCTAGCTGATTTCGATGGCATGTTGGAGTCCCAAACCGTGCAACCTCTACGAAGTAACCGGAAGCCTGAAACCCTGAACGAGTCACTCGGAACACAAAACCTTCCCAAACCCAAAGCACAAAGCCCAAAACCCTGAACCCCAAACCCTAAACCCTGGTCCTGCAGCTGGTACAGGTAGCCGCGGAGATGTGTGGAGAGCTGCGTGAAGAGCGCCGGGATGTTGTCCTCGGAGACGGAGCTCGGGCAGGCTTAGGGCTGTTTGTACGGTTCAGGGCTTAGGGGATTTAGGGGTTTAAGAGTTGGCATGTTAGGCTTTTAACGAGTTTTTGTGTTCATCTCTTTATCGGGTGGAAGCGGTGATTGTGCGCGCGATGGAAGCCTTTTGGGCCGAGGCTTTGTAGCTTCACAGGTTTTGGATTTTTGGGCTCAGGGCTGCAATCTATGAGAAAGGCGGACTCGCAGTTGGCTGCGGCTAACTGATAACAAAAAGGTACCAGAAGTGGGCTTGTAGAGGCCCTAAAGCTAGCACAGGCTAACCCCAGACCTCACACCCCATTCGCTCTTACACCAGTTCGCAACCAGCACCCTAAAACAAGCATTCAAGACCCGCAAACCACAAAACACCTCCCAACCCCATAATCAAACATCCAAACTAAACCTACTCAACATCCACTCCCAAATGATGTCTGGAGTATGCCCCTCTGGAAGAGTCCCTAAGCCTCTAACCCTGAACTGGGAAGGCGCCCTGCGTAGCAAACCTGCCCTAGACCCCCAAGCTGAACCCAATTGCTGTTTTGCGCTCATCTCACGGCCGGTTCTCTCCTGGCATTATGCAACTCCTTTCGCGGGTGGAGCTGGCATTGGGTCTCGCGACACTTGTCGCAGCCTATGTGGATTTCAGCACACTCAACAATCCGTGCAAGGCCTCATGAAATATCTGCATGATGTCAATGTCATCTTATTATCTCAATGAAGTTGAAGGGGCCAGAGGGTTGGCACCTCAGCTCCCCAAGCTTCTGCTCGCACCGATCGCTCTGCTCGCTCAGCTTCTGCTCGAACCGATTGCTTGCCTCGCTCTGCTTCTGCTCGAACTGATCGCTCTTCTGAACAAAACCATCGCTCAGCTCGCTCAGCTTCTGCTCGAACCGATCGTTCAGCTCTCTCAGCTTCTTCTCGGTAGAATCGGAGATCCGATCATTCAGCTTCTGCTCGCACAGATCATTCGACCTGCTTATGTCTCGCCTTCGCTGTTGTTCCACCAGGCACCAGACCAGCATCACATGAACGAGCAACAAGTAAGACCCAAGGCCTGCCGTCTTGCACTTGTCTTGCCAGCTTTGCGGTTGCCATGCGGTCCCCGTTTGATCCGAATCGACTCGTTGGCCGAGTTGTATGTGAATCTCCGGTCGGTCTTCGAGCCTCTTGCGGGCCTCGTCAACCATCCAGTCCCTCATGGCTTTGTGCTCATGAAGGTCTATCGCCTGACCTTCTCCGGCCTTGGGTTCAAAATGAACCTCATACAGTGTAATCAAGACATGAGTTTCCCTCGCACCTTCTGGTTTCTTCATTTCAATGAACCCGAATCGCCACACGCGGCAGGTACTCCCGGCATCATTTGTAGCACCAAACTGGTCGTCAATCTCTCGTCGCATTGCGGATGTGCATACCAAGATCTGCTTCAGTTCCTCTTTCTCACCGTCCCTCAAGACCTCCTTCAATACTTGTTGACGTTGCGCAACCATTTTTCTTCTTGTCCTTCAGGTACAGAATCGCACTTGAAGATGAATGGGTCCCTGAGACTGCGGAATTTCTCCCGAGCGATGCGCAACGATGACACATCAATGGAAGGCAAAGTCAGGTTGAACAAGTTCACAGTGGTATTGACCGTGTTGTCGCTGCCAACCTTGTTTCCGCTCAGGTTGCTACCCACGTTGGCAGCAGAAGCTTGAAGGCTAGCGCTTGCAACGCCCGAGCTGAACAGCCAGCGTCTGGGAACTTGTCCCACACAACTTGGGCAATGTCTGGGTGGTGCGACTGCAGGCAGCCTGAAAAGTCTGCGGCTTGAATGTGAACATAAACGTCGCACCGAAGAGAGGCCTGCCATTCGCAGTGAGATGGCTGACCCGTGCTTCTATCAATCCTGGCGCGAAGCTTGAGCCCATGGGTCTCGTGGTACCATCGCCCGTCTTTAGCTTCAACGTGCTATGCAATCATGCAGCAGCATTGAATGCATCCTTGCCCCTCCGTCGCGGTGCATGGAGGGGGGCGGGGCCTAAATATGATGCTCTGCGACGAAGGGGGCGCCGTGTGACGTCCAAAATGCACTATCACATGTAGAGGGTGCCTGTGCCGACATACGCACGCAACACCACTACAAAACTCAAACAACCTACCATTACACATTACGGATCTTTGGATGGGCCTTGTAGAGTGCTGCGTGTTTTGTGGGTTTGGACGGATTGGTTTATTAATATCGGGTTGAGAAATGGTGCACAAGCGTGGGGGAGGGGATGGCGGCATAAGATGTGGGGTTTGGGGTTAGCCTATGCTTGCTCCTAAACTCGAAGCCCTAAGCACTCCAAGAGTTCTTAAGAAATCTGACAAACAAGAAGAGCAAGCCTGAACCCCAAAGCTCAAAACTCTGAACCCGAAACTTCAAACCCTGAACCCTTAACTCTGAACACCCTAAACCCTACAGTTGCCCCCCAAACCCCTAAAGTCCTGAACCCTCAACCCCAATAAACCCCTAAAATCCGAAACCCCAACCCCAAACGATAAACCCTACAAAAAAAGGGCATCCCTTCTAAACCCTAATAGCCGTAATAAACCCCAATCCCGAAGCCACTCGGCGACAGGGCACGGAGGCGCGAGCACGCTCCCGGGGATCTCGAGGGTGCCGGACCTGGTATATTCTTTCCTTAAGAACCCCTTATAGACCCTAAACCCTAAATTCCAGGGACTTCATGTTGCAGACAAAGAGACTTCAATTCGATGGGGCTACCCCGACGATTTGCTCCTCTTCGGTAGCTTCCCTAAACCCTGAACCCTGGTATTTGAGCTCCCCACCCCTAAACCCTAAACCCTAGACCTCAGACCCGAAACCAACACCTGACTTTTTGAACATGCAAACACCGAATTCGAAGAGTTGGGGCAACAAGGGGATAGGGTCTAAGGCTTAGGGTGCCCTGTTTCTATTTGCGTGCACATAAAGGGATCCGACAAATTTCCCGGAAGGCGGGGGGAGGGGGGGGGGGTGCTTGCTGTTGGGGGCTTGAATTTCAGCTCAAGGCTCTTGGGGCGAGGTATAGCTTCAGGGTTTCAGGAGCCGTTTAAGGTTTAGGGTTTCGATGTATTGAGGGTTACAGGGATAGCCTTGGGTCAACTTTGAGGTTCTTAGGGGCTGAGGGTCTGTGTGCAACCAGGCATCCTCGTGAACAGATGCGTCTATCTCTTCACACAGCCTCAGGCCACAATGCTGCTCGACACGTGCGACACCCAAACTGCCAACCCTAGAATTGCTGCCGGGACCGTTCACCCTAAAACTCTTAGACCCTAAAGGCCACCCCCCCCCAATCCCAAACACTCTAAACCTTAGATTCCATCCTGAACCCTCAACTCTATGTGGACCTATGAATCTCAAACCGAAAGCCCTCAACCCTGAACCCCAAACCCTTAACCCCACCATCTGAAGTGCGACCGTGCCCACTGCTGCAACGCACTTCGCTCACGGCTTGGCACTTCACGCAGCACGGTGCCTCGGAAGTATTGAAGGGGGGGGGGGGGGGTCAGGGTCTATATCGGGCTTTGGGCTCATACAGGCTTCATATTGGGGCTCATATAGGGCTGATGTGGTTTGTGGGGCTTGCAGGGTTTTATCGGAACTTTAGGGGACTTCGGGAAGGAAGGAGGCAGGGAAGGAAGGCAGGGAAGGAAGGCAGGGAAGGAAGGAAGGAAGGAAGGAAAGAATAAAGAAAGGAAGGTTTGGAGCATTAGGTGCCTGAGTGCTGTCTGGAAGTGCTCGGACGAGGTCCCAATTTTGTAGCAACTGTGGGAGAGCTGCCTGTTGGGTTCCCGAACATGTCAGCTTCTGATGATACTGGACTACCCTGATAATGAACCTATATATTTCTATATCGTTATCCCAGCTAATTCATTCACATACAGATATTATATATATATACACACATGTCCCAAAAGGCACGAATCCTTACAGTGTTCGGGGGACCTCCAAACAAGCTCCCCTACTTTCCTAAACCCTAACCCCTAAAAACCAGCAAATCGGGGTTCACTCTCCCAAGCAACCTCTGCAAACCCACTCAAGCCTGAGCTGACTCGACATACGAACCCCTCAGCCTCAAACCCCGGCACTTTCTCTGTGTCTCTGTCTCTCTCTGTCTCTCTCTCTCTCTCTCTCTCTCGCTCGCTCTGTCTCTCTGCCGCTCTCTCTCTCTCTCTCTCGCTCGCTCGCTCGCTCTCTCTCTCTCTCTCTCTCTCTCTTAATCAAGTCTCCTAAGCCAATGCCCTGAACCTTACTTGGGCTCATAAGCCCATGTGCAGAATCGGGCAGCCTTATGTCAACCCTGAACCTCTTAAGCCCCCAAATCGCCCCACAACATAACCTAAACTCACTAAACTTCACTTAACCCCTACAACCCTCCGAAGCCCTAACCTCAGCCCTGAAGACTGCCCTTAACTTGCAAAACCCTTAACACCCCCAAACCCCCCCAAGCCCCCCAACACCCTTAAGCCCCCATTAAGCCCCCCTTAAGCCCCCAAAACCCAAGACCCTAGACCCCAGACCCAAAACCCAAAACCCTAAACCCGAAACCCTAAACCCTAAACCCTAAACCCGCAACATCCCTTAAGCCCCCCAAAAAGCCCCAGAGCCAAGGCTTCGGCACTCCAGCGGGGTGAGCTCCTGGCTGGTGTTGGCCCCACAGTACCTGACTTCAACAAGGGCGGCTTAGGGTTTTAGGGTTTAGGGATTTAGGATTTAGGGTTTAGGGTTTAGGGTTTAGGGTTTAGGGGTACTCCAGGAGCCCTAAACCTCAGGAGCGAGCCCAGAGTTTATGGAGGCCCTAGAAAACCTACAAGCTCCTATGCCCCGCTTCCCTTTGGGGACCAAGATGAACCCCAAAATTGGGATCCTCTCTTGCCCGAAACTCTCATCCATACTAGGGGAAAATGGGCCACAAACCTTTTAGGGTTCATGTCGTCCTAAACCCTAAACCCTAAACCCTAACCCCAAACCCTAAACCCCAAACCCTAAACCCTAAATCCCAGGTCTGTCTCAGGCCCGGGGCCAGGATCCGCCCGAGCGGGTGAAGCGGCAGTCTGCGCGACGCAGCCAGCAGCAGCTATGGGAGTCCTCGCCGCCAAGCCTCTCAAAAACGAGACCAGAGAGGAGTTTAGGGTTTAGGGTTTAGGGTTTAGGGTTTGGGGTTATCGCCTCCCCCCTCCTCCCCCCCTCCCCCCCCTCCCCCCCTCCCCCCCCCCCCCTCCCCCCCCCCCCCCCTCCCCCCCCTCCCCCCTCCCCCCCTCCCCCCCTCCCCCCCTCCCCCCTCCCCCCTCCCCCCCCCCCCCCCCCTCCCCCCCTCCCCCCCCCCCCCTCCCCCCCTCCCCCCCTCCCCCCCTCCCCCCCTCCCCCCCCCCTCCCCCCTCCCCCCCCCCCCCCCCGGATTTTTCCTTGTTGTTGGTACGGTTTAAGTGTTGGGCTTATATATTGGCTTTGAGAGGGTTTTAGGCTGAAGGGCTTCAAGTGCTGTGTTTTCCGGGCTGCTATTTTTGAGAGGTTTATGTGTTATAAAGGGCTGCCAGTTCAGGATTCCTCTGCTCCGTTTCGGCGCTCTGAGGGTTTAGGGTTTATACCGCTTAGGGTTTAGAGTTCAGGGTCTGGGGCTTATACTGTGTAGATCTCTGTAGGGTTGATGTTTCGGGTTTAGGGTTTAGGGAGGTACTTTCGTGGACTGGGATGAGAAAAGGACGCCGAACCTCTGTTGGGGAGGGCTCCGCTTGAGGGCTGCTTCCGGGTTTTAGGCATTTCGGCTTCGAGGGTGTCAGGGCTGTAGGCCCTACAGTAGGCCTTCATGGCTGTAGGATGCCTACAAGATTTTTACTAGGGCTTTCGGTTTGAGGGCATCAGGGTTTTCAGGGTTTTCGGGCTGATAAACCGATGCTGCTAGCCTAAAAACTCATCCCATTCTCAAATGAAGCTCTATTTCAGTGAGCCACTGGCTTGGGTTTGGTCAGGCTCAGGCTTGTAGCGATGCATGAGCCACTGGCTGCTGTCCGGCTGTCTCGTCTGTCTGGCACTACACCACGGAGGTCTTGCATGCGAACGGGCATGTTGGGTACCGCAAGCATCTTCAAGCATGCCATCGCTCTGTGGCCCACGACTCCGCAGTAGTCGCACTGACTCAAGCAGTACGCTATCTGACCATTCGCCTAAGGCGTCAGGGCGGTTCAGGGCCAAGTTGGGAGGGCATTCCGGTCGGGTCCCGAAGGCACTGAGGGGATGTTCGATGGTGATGTGCCAGCGAAGACAGCGGGGTAGCGCGCCGCTGGGGCTCTAGGGTTTTTAGGGCTTTAGAGCGGCAGGGATCTTCCCTGTGTCCACAGTTATCGACCCTGTTGAAGGCTCTGCCCTGTACCCTGCTCACTCGTCCCTGAACCCCGAACCCCAAGCCCCAAACCACTACATACCCCACAAAACCGAAGCCCGAAAGGCACATGAACCCCCATGACCGCAAAGCCTTTCCAGACCCTAAAGCCACGGCTCAGGGTTTAGTGTAGGGCTTCGGGCTTATGAAGGGAGTTTGGGACCCCAAACCCAAAACCCAAAACCCTACACCCTAAGCCATAAACCCTCAACCCTCAACCCTGAACCCTGAACCCCAAACCCTAAACCCTAAACCCTAAACCCTAAACCCTAAACCCTAAACCCTAAACCCTAAACCCTAAACCCTAAACCCTAAACCCTAAACCGTAAACCGCACAGGTTTTCAGGGTGGGGGCGTAGGCCGGGATGGGCCGCAGCTCAAGACTCCCTTTCCTTCTCAAAGACCGACCCATTGCATCCGGGTTTAGGGCTTATAGGTTTGGGTTTTTCAGGGCTTACGTTTTTAGGGCTTAGGGCTTAGGGCTTAGGGCTGAGGGCTTTGGG